ATTATCATTTGAACAATGACAAATATTCTCATGAATATTAAACATAACAACCTCTGAACATTACAAATATCCACCTCAATTCAACCTGGAACCTCTCTCATACACAATACAGTGTGTGTGTGTGTGTGTGTGTGTGTGTATGTGTGTGTGTGTGTGTGTGTGTGTGTGTGTGTGAGCTGCCTGGACGCTACAATCATGTTGCGCGCACTATCCGTGCTGAGTGTGCTGACTTTTCGTACAATGTCCCACTGTCTGGCTTCCTGCATAAAGTCAAGTGCTCGGCGAAATGTCGCTCCTCTGTTTTCATTGAAACAGCTCCTTATATCCGTTAGCGCAGCTAGCTAGCACCAGATGCTAACAACAGCAATACACGTAAGGTGTGCACGTTCTCTCGCTCACGCCACACACCCTCCCGGTCCTCCCGATGGCCAGTCGGTGCCTGCCGGTGAGCGTGGAAGTGTGGTCTGCCGCAAGCGGACGGCAGGAGCGGGGCTGTCAGCATCAGCTTGTAGATGGTATTTTAAACTCGATGCGCTGAAACTACGGGGCGGCCGAGGACAAAAAATACACATGCGTTAATCGCGTGTAATTAGTTAAAAATAATTAGTGGCGTTATTTTTTTTTTTGCGTTAACGCGTTAACTTTACAGACCTACAAAATATGTTATTACTGAAATCAAGGTGGATGGATGGGTGGACTCTAAAATAACACCTTTTCATGAACTGCCTGTTAACAAAACAGTAAAGCAAACAAGTCTTTAGCATAAAGATACTGTTAAAAGATTTGTGGAATATTACTTGTCAGTGTTGGGTTTGTCCTGAGGCGTCTCCTCTGGGCAGGCGCTGCCCAGTATTCTCTTCCTGGCCTCGGCGTACTCTGCCTCGCGCTGAGCCAGAGACTTGACCTGTGGGGTAGGCCGGTTCTGATTCGAGGGCGATCCGAACGACCCGTTACTCGTAGGCCGCTTCAAAATGCGTATCTGAGGAGGGGGGGCTGCTGGGAGGGAGTCGTCCTGTATCACCATGGTTGTTTTCAGCGGAGATCGCAAAGAGTTATTACTGGTCTCCCTGGAAGCAGACACAGGACACCCACATTAATGATATGAGACACAGGAAGAAGACATGAAGAGAGAAGGCAGGGCTAGCTGATAATAGCTTAGACGCTACATGCATGAACAAAAGCCTTTAAGTTAGAAGTTTGAATTACTGATTGCGTTTTGCCCTGTATTATAACAATTTCTGAAAAGGTGCTCTTGATAATCAGTAAAACTTCTGAAGTTATGTTAAGGCGAGTACAGAGAAACTGGATCGTTTTGATTGTAAATCAAAGCAATCATTTTAAAAATTCACATATTCGAGCTTATACTTGCTAAGGCCTTACTTTTCTTTCTGGCTGATCCTTAGCTTCTCTTCTAACCGTTTTTCCATTTCCTGTGGGGACAAAACAGTACAAACATGTATTCATGAAAACAAACAACATGGTCCAACTAATTTGAGGGTAGAAGTGAAAAGTGAGGCAGGTAGTGAGCGGATGGAAAGCTAGATTACGTTACAAGCTATTTATACATGTAAGCATTGCTCCCAAGTCATAACAGAAAGTGAACTAGCTGACATTATCCCGCCTGACGTGTAGGCAGTAAGGAAAATATGAATTTAGGGTTTGATTAGGTGCATTATATACTGTAAAGAAAATACATAGCGATGAAGTTTGAAAGCTGTTTAACTTTAATTTGATGTGCTGCTGGCTTCTTCTTAGAGCCACGTTCTTGACATCACGAGCTATTGACAGTCTGCCAAACTAGACAAAAGCTAATTTTAGTGACATGTTACCAACCTGCCAGTTTGGCGACATAACTAACTCGTCCTGGGCCAATACTTAACAACATGGCTGAAATATTATCCCACAACAACGTGGCCTTGTTAAACCACCAAACTAGTTAGTCAATCTAAGGTTTAAGTATGTTATTGATAGTGTGCTATAAGACTGCTAAATTAACGTTGTGTACACATTTAAATAATCTGTTAGTCAACCGGCCTTGCTAAAAAACACATTATCACTTTGACAGTAACGTTTCGAACAACCTAAATGATTTACAACGCTGCGAGTCGTCGTCCACAGAATGATACTCGTTACTGAGATGAATCAGTGTTAGGCTTATTAGTAATACATATGTTGTTTATCACATTACATATGAGACAATAGTGTGTCGCGGACGGGTCTTGAGCTAGGTGTGTTCATTTTCTAATGAGTAAACCAATATTCAATCAACACATTTCTCATGTTAGCCATGCAATACATAGCAAGCTTAGCATTAGCCGACGTCAACCAAGGCATTTCAACATAAACTCTAGTTATGTTGCGCTTCGTGTAACTATATAGGTTAGCTCGTCGCCGTTAGCCAATTATCAGGCATATAGAAGTACTTTCATAAGAAATTGTTTTACTAGCGAGCGTCACTTGGCTAGTTAGTTGGCTAAGTCCATGTTAAGCCTGCCTCGCTCGCTAGCTACTTGACGTTAGCTCGCCAAGTTTCTTAAAGCTAACGCTAGCATTAGCCACATTGTTGGCCCGTGGGAGTCGTTCACATAAAACACCGTTATGGGAACTTTTAAAAGCAAACTTGTGAATATAAAGACGGAAAAAAAACGATTTTCGCATATCGGTGAAGGTATGTTAAGCCATTCATTAGTTACCCCACTATCAGCAGCTTCCTCCCAACTTTCGTCGACCTCATCCATGTTTCATTTTGCTCAGACACGCTGTGGAGCTGGCCGTCCTGCGCTCCTCAGATCCGCCTCTCCACCGGCCCGCTTTGACATCACACTGACGGGTTTCCCCTGCGCATGATACCCCTCTATACAGGCAGGAGTGGGCGAGAAATGTCTAACCACAGTAGTCAGAGAACATACGTTTTTAAGAAAGTGAACTGTCTCTTTTTCTTCCCTCATTTTGAATGTCAATCATTTAAACGCTTCAACTTGAATTAGTTACATACAAATGTAATGTAGCAGTTATAATCTTCTTCTAAACAATTCATTTGTATCAACTTTTGTTTTGTTTGTGGCACACATAACAAGCAGAGGCATTTTTATTTTAGGAAATTATCATGAACCTCCTGAATTTCATTAAAAAAATTGAATAACATCATGGAAAATATGCTGTACTGTGCTATTCACTAACATTTCCTGCCAATGCTCATACGAAAATCCAACTCTTTTATAGTTCAATACAAAACAGCTCTAAATCCTTTATGATTTTGTGACTGTTAATTTCCTTTTAAAATATAACTATTCTATTTCCAAGAAGAAGACAGTTTTATATTTGTGGTCGAGTTAGTAAGTTGTTTTATCAGCACTAAAAAAGATAATTAAAAAAATGTTGATCATGTAAACATACATAACCTTCCATAATCAATAAAGTTCTATCTTATCTTATAACATCATACAAATATTCTAAACTCGTCGGTGGTTTGTGTATAATAATGAAAACTTTACTAATTGAACAACAACGTGCCTTTTATTCTATTTATTGGACTTTGTACATTGACTGACTGGTAAGACATAAATGTTGTTTTATTGCTACTGGAATTATATTTGCTTCCCCTCTTTATCAAATTGTGTTCTCAGATAAGAGAGGCTTTTTAAACACTTATAGGAAGTTGTTAGCATGATTTGGAACAGATATCGTTGAGGTTATTTGATAAAAATAGAAATTACTTATTGACATCTGATAATGCATGTCAGCTTTTCATGTGCCACATTGTCTTATTAATATTTGTGGTGCTTTAACGTATACATGGCCAGCCTATCGCACTTTAAGGATCTCAAAAAAACGATATAGGTCACAAATCTCAACAGCCTGCTGACCTGTAAAGGTGTCATAGACATTCACTTGATGTATGTCTTCTTTTTCACTACTATTTGGGGATTTTAGCCTTTTTTACTATTTACATCCACAAAAACGTATATAACACTCTACAGGAAATCCAAAACCCCAAAAAGCATATAGGGCCTCGTTTTAAATTTAAAAGTGAAACGTTTTGAACGCATATTTTAATATCCTAGGTCTAGACTCTTGTCTAAATACTCTATGGACATGTATATTAAAGATTATTAACCCAGCTTTACTGCTCCAATGGTGCTGTGGAAATGATCTCAGAAGGTCAATAGTCTATTACAGTGAACATTTTAGGCAATTATTATATGTTCTTTGTAACATGTTTTATGAAGACCCTGGTGAAGGCCACCAGCAAAACATATTCTTAAACTTGACTTGAAATCGAAACCTCCAGTTTAGGTTTCAAGTAGGCACAGACACCTGCTCTGAACATGTAGTCCCACATGTTCACAGTGACAGAATACATATCCTCATGGCTAAATCATGTGCAAAGACATGCACATTCTGTTCAATTAGGTGGTATTTATTTGGAAATCCAGAAGTTAGTTTGCATTTGAGAGCAAATCCATTAAAAAAAATGTCCAATCAATAGTTTAGTTATTTTTTGTTGTAACAAATTATTTTGTTGTAACAAATTATTTATAAAGCTCCACATTTTATCTAAATAAAGTCTGGGATTTAGTCGTTGTTTCACCTGCATTGGTTATAGCTGCTCAATTAAACTACACAGTTCTTAAAAAACGTATCATCACCTGTGCAGAAGATTACCTTTTTCCTGAAAATAATTTAAAGACACTGTGAGTTCAATACCACAGATGTCTTGTCTTTTGGCCGGATCTAGACCATTCTAGAAACTGGTAACCAAAATGAATTTTAGATTTGGAAAAGGAAAGGAGTGGCTTGGAAATCCTCAGAACTGTAAGGACTTGTGATGCTAAACCAGCAACAACGATTGGCAATTACCATGAAGCAGTTATCCCTCTAACAAAACAAAAATAATGTTGAAACTAGTTGTCCTAAAGCCAAAAACATCAGCATAAAACAAGTCAGGGTTAACATGATGCAAGTGAAGTGATGAAAAAGCAACAAAAAGACTTCTGCTCTGATGACTTACATAAACCTTTGGGACTTTTATTCAAAACACTTTTTTTAAATGTTGTAGTTTATCCAAAATCATAATGATCCACCATCAGCACCTATGGACGTAGTATCCCGTTACGTATCCTATAATGTAGATGGACACCAATGCAGCCAAAGCTCCGGCCGTCTTCACTGCTACTCCAGAGCTGCCGTTACACAGACTGCTGTAGATCCTGTGAAAGTAAAGAGAGGGAGGCAGAGTCAGGGTTAACAGCATAGTTGAATGTTGAACTGACCGTTGTGACTCATTACCTGTTTTTCAACACATTGTCGCTTCATTTTGACTATATGGTTTTAGAAAACCTATTACTAAATATTTCAATTTGTGTCAAGTTAAAATGTCCCTTATGTAATTAAGGGTTTTCCCTTTGATGCAGTGCAATATATAAGTTGTTAAGCTTCTATACTACATCCGTAATATAGTGACATCACTATGTAACACGTCACTTCTATTGGCTAGCGCCCCAACACATTGTACGTGGAAGGCTAAGGGCGGGACATCTCTAAGCGTTTGGCCAATCACAACAAAGCCGGCCAGCTAACCAATCAGAGCAGACTGGGCTCTGGTTTCAGCAGTGGGTGAAAAGAGGTGCAGCAGCACAGGTAGTTTGAGAAAAATAAAGAGCTTTTTGAACATTAAAGCATGAAAACATGTCACAAAAGAGGCTCAATTCTCAAAACCAATATGAACATGAAGATAAGCATGATAGGGCCCCTATAATGGTTAACTTTGTATTTTGTGACATGAAATACAACCGCATAAAAATCCTTCCATTCATGTCCCAGTATATGCTTTTGTCTCATCAACATCTATACTTTTAAACTAGTTTTTGTTTTCTTGTGGCAGCAGAAAATCCTCAGCAATATGACAATTTAATATTTTTACATTATTGCCTGTGTCTCACCTCTGTGAAGTAGTCTGTGATGATGCCTTTACGTTCATGTTGATGTTGTCCTCGTTCCAGCGGTCATACTGCACGCTGCCTGCGCTGGTAGTGTTAGGGTCCATGAGGGAATAGCTTCTTCCTCTCCTCAGAGGTTTCTCTACCTGCTGACTAGAGTCACTGATAGACCAGATATAAGGATCCCTCAGAGTCGCTGCTTAGCCTGAACACACAACATGTCTATTAAGTATTATACAAATGTTAGGTTGAACATGGAATTATTGTATAGTAGGCCTAATGATTAGCCTACATCAAAAGTAACTTACTGCAGGCAATTTATCAAATAAAAGCTTTAAGAACCTGCATGCATAATGCACTTATGCATTAAGTCTAAACATATTTTACAACATTTCAAATTAGTTTAGGTGTCATTGAGCATTTTCATTGGCACTTTTGACAGCGTCAAACCACCATGCATCTGATAATGCGTTTACATTACCAGGATTTGCGAACCGAGTTGTGCCGAATCTCTCTAAATTATAACTCAATCTCTGAAACTAAACTTTCTTTCCTGTGTCCCTGTTTGTTCTTTTAGATATCTTCTTTATTTTCACAATTTCACGTTCGTTTTCTGCTGTATCAGAAGTCACGTCAAGTTACAGCTGATGAAATCGCAGCATTAAACGGTTTGCCACTTCATAATAAAAGCATTTAAATAACAAATAACGATGGACCTTTATTTTGAAGAATTGACGGGAATGTTTTTATAACCAATTTAGCGGAACTGTTTTTAGCGTCAATAAAAAACTGCGTAGACCTACTTTAAACCAGTAGAAAGATTAAGCAGCAGTACTAATGTTGGACTCTTCTTTTGAAACTGTGTTTTTTACAGTGTTTTAGATCTGATAATTTAACCAATAGTCACAGCCGTTCTGTGGAACCATGGACCCCTTCAAAACCGGGTAGCCCTGTTGTTAAAGAAATGCGAGCTGCGTGCTGGCACATATGGAAAAACTCCACATGTCAGTCAACTATTTCGAGAGTTTAATCAACTCTGGAGCTTAATCTGATGACATGACTGAAGTAATCAGAGTCAAAAGCAGTGATTTAATTTGATTTGATCATTGTCACCCTAATCAGAATTCACTTTACATTCCCCATATTCAAATAAACTGAATGAGTGCTCACCTGTATGGGTCTGAAACACTTTACAATCTGCCAACAAAGCTCAGCTGCGCACCTTTAAAGACTGAGAGAGCCCTGCCTCCTGCTTCTTATGAGACCTTGGTCATAGTTCATGTGTCGACATATGGTGTCGAGTCGACTGAGGTCAGCCTGTCATAAATCCATTGGTTGTGCTCCAGCTTTTCTTATATGACTCTTGGTGATAAGGGGCACTTTAAGCTTGTAGTCTATGGTTTCGTCACATCTTGTGCAGATAGTGGACTGCAATGCACAATTTTCAGGATCATATTTGTATTAAGTGCCTCTACTGTGATATCTACTGTGCTTTAATGTTCAAAAAGGTCTTTATTTTTCTCATGCCGCTGCAGCACCTCTCTTCACCCTCTGTCTGAAGAGAGGGAGGGGGGGGGCGGGGGGATTGTCCAACCAGCACACTTCGGTACCGGTCCACCTGGAAAACTCCCGGTATTCCCAATGGCCAGTCCGCCCCTGAATGCAGCATCCCAACAATTCTCTTGTTTATTACCTAGTAATCAGGTGTTACTGATTACAGGTCTTACTGACCTTAACACATCAGATGAGGCACATATTAAACAGGGGAACAGCCAGATGACTTGTTTTATTTTTGTATGATAACAACAGTATTTGCATATTGGAATAACTTTGTTTTGGTCTGCTTGTCTTTACTCATGAGACAACCATTACTTGTATTAACATCAGCAACTTTTGGTAGATAAGAATTGATCAATGGTGTTGAGGACTGATTTTGTTGTGTTGGTGTGACGTCATAGTCTCAATTGTATGATTTTACCTATAGTTTCAAGATGATCTGAGTCCTATTTAAGATGTTGGCAGAGTTCATAGCTTCTAACTGCCTATACAAACGCCAATCATGCTTGCTCCAGCATAGCTCCAAGCTAAATGGACCTAGAGCCCAATAATGTTACCAGCCACGCCTGTTAACGGCAGCTTCCTCTTACTGATCTGTTGCACTTGCGGCTGCTATGATAACAAATTAAGAGACATATACAATCATTTGTAACCTAAAGGCACCTTAACAGATGTTGTACACACCAGGCTAAATGTAGATTAAACATTTATTGCAGAATTCAAACCAGTAAGACTACGTTTTATAATTAGTTTGGTTTCTCAGATATATTGATGAGTAAAAGCATAATGTAGCCAGATAAAAAGAGCTTGAACAGCTCAGTGACCGTGTTGAAGGAGAGGAGAGAGAGTGGCAGGCCTACCAATTCTCCCTGACTGGTGAACTGAAGAGCTGGTATAAAATCCTGTGATTTAATCCAAAATCCACAAACTGAAATTGTAATCCAAAACTAGTTGGTAGTGGGATTCATAGACTTCTCTTTATCTCCTGAATGTGTGTGCATTGCAGACACTTTTGTGTGTGTGCCGATAGCGCTTTATAAGCCCTTTTCTTTTCCAAGGATATTACAAACCTCACAGAAAAAACTTCCCGAACTGTCATTTTCCAGTACTCTTCATTCAGTATACACATAATCACCCTTAAACATCATTATAATCCTATAATCAATGTCTCAAATCAAAAGAGTTATCCTTTATCTTTTATTATGTTGGTTTCTAATACGAACATTATCACATTTATTAATTATTACATGCATGTAATCCATTTATACTCAATTTGTTTCTGTGTTTTTTTGGCATTATGCTCTGATGTTGGCATAATAAGCACAGAGAAAATCTAAACTCCATTCACCGAACTTGAAACCATTGAAGTATCCTATGACGAAGGCCGACACCAGTGCAACCAAAGCTCCTGCCACCACTGCTACTTCAGAGCTGCTGTTACACCTTTTTCTGTGGACCATGTGAATGTAACAGAGAGAGAGGCAGAGTCAGGGAAAACAGCATTTAGTCATCTGTTTACTGATAACATATTATGACCTGGTTTCACCACATTGTCAGATTTAGAATTTAAATGTTTACACAAAGCCTATAGGAGCTATTCATTGTTGTGTATTATATAATAGTTAAAGGGGCAATATTATGCACATTTTCAGAATCATATTTGTATTAAGTGCCTCTACTGTGATATCTACTGTGCTTTAATGTTCAAAAAGGTCTTTATTTTTCTCATGCCGCTGCAGCACGTCTCTTCACCCTCTGTCTGAAGAGAGGGAGGGGGGGGGCGGGGGGGATTGTCCAACCGGCACACTTCGGTACCGGTCCACCTGGAAAACTCCCAGTATTCCCAATGGCCAGTCCGCCCCTGAATGCAGCATCCCAACAATTCTCTTGTTTATTACCTAGTAATCAGGTGTTACTGATTACAGGTCTTACTGACCTTAACACATCAGATGAGGCACATATTAAACAGGGGAACAGCCAGATGACTTGTTTTATTTTTGTATGATAACAACAGTATTTGCATATTGGAATAACTTTGTTTTGGTCTGCTTGTCTTTACTCATGAGACAACCATTACTTGTATTAACATCAGCAACTTTTGGTAGATAAGAATTGATCAATGGTGTTGAGGACTGATTTTGTTGTGTTGGTGTGACGTCATAGTCTCAATTGTATGGTTTTACTTATAGTTTCAAGATGATCTGAGTCCTATTTAAGATGTTGGCAGAGTTCATAGCTTCTAACTGCCTATACAAACGCCAATCATGCTTGCTCCAGCATAGCTCCAAGCTAAATGGACCTAGAGCCCAATAATGTTACCAGCCACGCCTGTTAACGGCAGCTTCCTCTTACTGATCTGTTGCACTTGCGGCTGCTATGATAACAAATTAAGAGACATATACAATCATTTGTAACCTAAAGGCACCTTAACAGATGTTGTACACACCAGGCTAAATGTAGATTAAACATTTATTGCAGAATTCAAACCAGTAAGACTACGTTTTATAATTAGTTTGGTTTCTCAGATATATTGATGAGTAAAAGCATAATGTAGCCAGATAAAAAGAGCTTGAACAGCTCAGTGACCGTGTTGAAGGAGAGGGAGAGAGAGTGGCAGGCCTACCAATTCTCCCTGACTGGTGAACTGAAGAGCTGGTATAAAATCCTGTGATTTAATCCAAAATCCACAAACTGAAATTGTAATCCAAAACTAGTTGGTAGTGGGATTCATAGACTTCTCTTTATCTCCTGAATGTGTGTGCATTGCAGACACTTTTGTGTGTGTGCCGATAGCGCTTTATAAGCCCTTTTCTTTTCCAAGGATATTACAAACCTCACAGAAAAAACTTCCCGAACTGTCATTTTCCAGTACTCTTCATTCAGTATACACATAATCACCCTTAAACATCATTATAATCCTATAATCAATGTCTCAAATCAAAAGAGTTATCCTTTATCTTTTATTATGTTGGTTTCTAATACGAACATTATCACATTTATTAATTATTACATGCATGTAATCCATTTATACTCAATTTGTTTCTGTGTTTTTTTGGCATTATGCTCTGATGTTGGCATAATAAGCACAGATAAAATCTAAACTCCATTCACCGAACTTGAAACCATTGAAGTATCCTATGACGAAGGCCGACACCAGTGCAACCAAAGCTCCTGCCACCACTGCTACTTCAGAGCTGCTGTTACACCTTTTTCTGTGGACCATGTGAATGTAACAGAGAGAGAGGCAGAGTCAGGGAAAACAGCATTTAGTCATCTGTTTACTGATAACATATTATGACCTGGTTTCACCACATTGTCAGATTTAGAATTTAAATGTTTACACAAAGCCTATAGGAGCTATTCATTGTTGTGTATTATATAATAGTTAAAGGGGCAATATTATGCACATTTTCAGGATCATATTTGTATTAAGTGCCTCTACTGTGATATCTACTGTGCTTTAATGTTCAAAAAGGTCTTTATTTTTCTCATGCCGCTGCAGCACCTCTCTTCACCCTCTGTCTGAAGAGAGGGAGGGGGGGGCGGGGGGATTGTCCAACCGGCACACTTCGGTACCGGTCCACCTGGAAAACTCCCGGTATTCCCAATGGCCAGTCCGCCCCTGAATGCAGCATCCCAACAATTCTCTTGTTTATTACCTAGTAATCAGGTGTTACTGATTACAGGTCTTACTGACCTTAACACATCAGATGAGGCACATATTAAACAGGGGAACAGCCAGATGACTTGTTTTATTTTTGTATGATAACAACAGTATTTGCATATTGGAATAACTTTGTTTTGGTCTGCTTGTCTTTACTCATGAGACAACCATTACTTGTATTAACATCAGCAACTTTTGGTAGATAAGAATTGATCAATGGTGTTGAGGACTGATTTTGTTGTGTTGGTGTGACGTCATAGTCTCAATTGTATGGTTTTACTTATAGTTTCAAGATGATCTGAGTCCTATTTAAGATGTTGGCAGAGTTCATAGCTTCTAACTGCCTATACAAACGCCAATCATGCTTGCTCCAGCATAGCTCCAAGCTAAATGGACCTAGAGCCCAATAATGTTACCAGCCACGCCTGTTAACGGCAGCTTCCTCTTACTGATCTGTTGCACTTGCGGCTGCTATGATAACAAATTAAGAGACATATACAATCATTTGTAACCTAAAGGCACCTTAACAGATGTTGTACACACCAGGCTAAATGTAGATTAAACATTTATTGCAGAATTCAAACCAGTAAGACTACGTTTTATAATTAGTTTGGTTTCTCAGATATATTGATGAGTAAAAGCATAATGTAGCCAGATAAAAAGAGCTTGAACAGCTCAGTGACCGTGTTGAAGGAGAGGGAGAGAGAGTGGCAGGCCTACCAATTCTCCCTGACTCACCTTTTTCTGTGGACCATGTGAATGTAACAGAGAGAGAGACAGAGTCAGGGAAAACAGAATTTAGTCATCTGTTTACTGATAACATATTATGACCTGGTTTCACCACATTGTCAGATTTAGAATTTAAATGTTTACACAAAGCCTATAGGAGCTATTCATTGTTGTGTATTATATAATAGTTAAAGGGGCAATATTATGCACATTTTCAGGATCATATTTGTATTAAGTGCCTCTACTGTGATATCTACTGTGCTTTAATGTTCAAAAAGGTCTTTATTTTTCTCATGCCGCTGCAGCACCTCTCT